TTGTTTTGGGGTTTTTGTGGGATTTTTTTTGTTTGTTCGGTTTTGGGGTGTTTTTTTTATGTTTTTCCCTTTTCCCCACCATCTTCCACTGTGGTTTATTTGCTCTGTGATCCTCATTCTTTTTGTCTCCTTTTCTAGCACACTAGTATTGAGAACACARCTTCGCTTCAGCCCTCAACAACCTTTTCAACTGCTTCAACCTCAGCCACTAGCACCACCTCCTCGGTTGTCAGCATGGCAAGCAGTATGAACACTACAAACAGCCTTGGCCTGAGCGTCACCAGTGTGTCTATACCAGCTGCTACCACACGGGCAGCTCCCTTAGTGTCTTCAGGTTGGCAATTCTGACAGATCATGTGGATAGACAGAGGATTTCAGTCAGCAGGGCTGTCAGTTGAGCATCTCACCAGCCATAACAACGCTAAGAAGTCCACACTCTTCACTAGCATTTCCAGCATGCTGTATTTGCTGGCTTATGAAATAAAGTTGCCTGCTTTTGTGTATTTGAAATATTTGTTAGGGTGTTATGTGGCATTTATATAGCACATTCTGTTCCCAAAGAGCTTTATAAATACACGCCAGAGCAGTTCTGACTTGGGAATTTTGGGCTAGAAAACTCAACCAGTTTGTATTCCAAGTTGGGATCAGCTCCTGAGTATGAGGTCACATTAGCTTTGGTTTCAGTCTTTTCTGTGACTTGAATTCATTTGGCAGTATCAGAATATACTGCAGTGTCCTCATTATCATATGTCACATCCCTACTGCCCCTTCTTCAGAAAGGAAGAAAAATGCCTGGGTCATTGCACAGCAAATAGCGCTTCAGAAGGAGGGTGCATGGAGAAAGAGGGCTGGGAGGCTTCTTGCACTAAAGTGGAAGCAGTGCTAAATTCTCTTTCTTTTCTGATAAAYCTGAACTGCTAAAAGCAAATCCTATGGAGAGAAGTGAGTGATGTAATACTAAGGATCAGGCTTCCTTACAGAAGGATTTCACATTCCTATGGCTTGTAAATGAAGTGTTTGATGACTGGCCTAAGTGCATTGTTCTTTTACTGTTTTGCTTCCTAGCACTGCTTCATGAAGGCAGCTGAAATAATTTAAGTCTTCTCTTTGCTATTCCTAGCTGTAGTAAGTCACCCACAGAAAGTATGCTGGCAACATATAATGCTTTCCAGTCTATTGCTGGTGATAAAGGGAATGTGTTGACAGAGCAGAAAATGAAAGGAGAGAATTTGCTCTTTCAGATCGAGAACGATTTCTAAATTTGCCTTTAGGAAAGGACTGAGGAAAGGAGAAGTTTCTGCAGTTCTTGTAATCCTCTTGGACAAAGTAAATGACAAAATCAGGCTGTTCTCTGATAGGACTGTTTTCAGTCTTAAGTAGCCTTGCTTTCCCTCCCTTGAGGCATGGTTAAACTCTTCAGGCTATTTTGAGCATATTCATCAAGCAGCACAAAATCTGTTCTTGAGAATCTGAGATGGTGCAGCTGCCAGAACTTGTGAGCTATCTTGTCTCAATGCTGAAGCCTTTTCTTTCCTAAAGGCTTGTTAAAGTGTCTGTATTTTGATTCTACAGGCAAAGCTCCCCCAAACCTGCCCCAAGGTGTACCACCCTTGTTGCATAACCAGTATATTGTGGGACCTGGAGGACTTCTACCTGCCTACCCAGTAAGCAGTTTCATTGTTTCTGTCTCTGATTTCTTAGCTCTTGGTGCAAATAGGCCCTCCAGACCTGCTACTGTCTATGCCAAGGCATTTCTGGTGGCATGTGTCACACCTTGAATTCTTGTTCCAAATGCTGAAGAACATCTCAAATATGTTCCATAGGGACTTACTGTTGATTATAAACTGCAGAGCTGTTGATACAGACCTGATCTGGCTCCTGCTGAAGCTAAACATGGGTATTACTATGGTTTTAGAACCTTTGAATAAATTTAGTCTCTTTTAGTTTTGTGTTACTGGAATGGATTTGTCGCAGTAATGACTGAAATGTGCCATGTGTCCTGTCTGTCATTCTTTGCAAGACTGCACAAAGCTTTCTGATGTCTGACTAGTATCAGCGGTTTTTGGTTATCTGTTTTTTGAAACAGAAACTTTATACCAGTAACTTTTCTATGTCAAACTGAGTGTGAGGTGATACCATAGGTTGCTTTGTGGYCAAGTCATCAACTCTTTAATCTTACTGCTCTATGAAGCAATGATTACAGCAAAGAGAGCTGTTGCTCTTACTCCCAATTCTGAATGCCYTGTAGATTTTTCATAAGTGCAGGAATGATGTGTCTGTGAAAACCGTATTGAAGATGGCACAGTCAATGTCTCCCCAGAGGACATTGTCGCCAGGAAACAGCATCAGAGTGACAAACCTTTTTAACCTCAGCTCTACTATTCTTGAAATGCTACACAGCCCCATGATTGCACAAAGGAGCTGTAGACAACACAGGATGGACTTAAGTCAGACTCAGTTCAAAGCCCCAAATTGATCAGTATCAGAAAAAAGTGTTATAATGATGTATTTTTATCTGTCTTTAAGCAGATTTATGGTTATGATGATCTCCAGATGCTTCAATCCAGACTGCCAATGGTAAGTGACTTGATTTACTTAATTTTAAACAAGTTATCTTTGGTGTTGATGATTTGTGCCACATAAGTTGGTTCATTTAACAGTGGTTAAGAGCTTTTCTTTATGTTCTACATTCTGTTTTTCTAAATACCTGGTTTTTCAATTTACACCAGGATTATGTAATTTGATACAGAGCAACTGTTGCATCATGCATTTCTCCATCTGCAAAATCTGTAAATAGAAGCAAATGTGCTCTGTGTTCCTAAGTGGAGAAATTTCTAATTGTTGTAACAACATTATGACATATTATCAAATCTAATTGAAATCTGCGCATGAATGTTTTCTTTTACCAAGAGGTAGGATTGGACTAAGTACATAGGGTGGTAGCCTGTGTACCTGTAGCCTGTATCTTGGAGGTTTTGGAGGTGCTCATAGGTGGAGATCTTTTTATATGCRTTGTGGTAACAAATGAAGGTGAGCTGCAGGACTGAGAGCGTGCAAAGTCTTTTCCTTATCTGGATCCAGAATGCAAATGGTATGTGAGACAGGCTGAGCACCCAGATGAATTCAAAAAGGACCTCAATCTAGACTGCAAAATGATAAAGAATTTTCTTACCAGAAATGTAGGATAATGAACTTGGAGAAAAGGTTTGGTAATAGGTAACTGAGAACAGTTAGATACTAGCATGATGCAGTGTATTTGTACAGGCATAAATGGAGCAGTGAGCAGTGATCTGAGAAGACTGGGTGAATGCCATAATGTAAGGCCCAGATAAATACCAGATCTTCCATAAAGAGCTTGGAGCAGCAGTCAGATAGTTTAAGGGTGGGTACAGGAATGACTCAAATCCCTGTCAGACTGCAGAACCTGAATTAAAAAATCACCAAAGTTGAGCACATGAATAAAGACTTACACCAGAGAAAGTCATGGTACTTGAAGAACCGTCAGCTGTAATGCATGGAATTATTTTCAGAGCAACAAAATGGCAAAATATTTAAAGTTGCAGGGCAGTGAGACACATATTGTAATGCGTTAACACAGGCTAGTTGCCTGGTGGCCACTAAGCTGCTCTGTCACTCCACTCCTCATCTGATCAAGGCAGAAAATATATTTGGAAAGGAATGGGGGATGAGATAAGGACAGGGAGRAGTCACTCGCTGCTTATGGCCACTGGCAATAGAGACTTGATTTGAGGAAATTGGTTTACTTGTTAGCAATCAAAACAGGGCAATGAGTAGATCATGAAATAAAACCAAACCTACAAAACACCTTCCCCTCACCTCTCATGTTTTCCTGGACTCAGTTTCACTCGTGATTGTCTCCACCTTCATTCTMCCAGCTGGCACAGGAGGATGGGGAGTGGGACTGCCTTCTGTGCCATCACACTTCTGCTCCTTTCTCCTCACACTCTTCCCTGCCCCCATGTGTGAGTCCTACCACAGGACACAGGCCTCCACGAAGTCCTCACACATGAGTCCTAAAATGTTTTATATTGGAAGAAGTAATCTGATTTTAAGTACCTATGTTATGGGAAAGGACAACTTCCACTGAACCATGTTGCGCACAACCCTATCCAATCTGGCCTTGAACACTTGCAGGGRTACGGTAACTGGGCTACYTCTGGGTAACCTGTGCCAGTGCCTCACAATCCTCACAGAAAAGACTTGCTTCCTGATGCCTGTTCTAAGCCTGCTCTTTTGATTTGAAGACATTTCCAGGAGTCCATCACCTCTCACTGCAGACACAGTTCAAAATTCTGTTTGCATCTTTCTTCTAAGCTCCCTTGAARTGCTAAAAGTCTGCAGTAAGGTCTGCCTGAAACCTTCTCCAGGCTGAGGAACCACAACCCTTCTCAGTATGTCTTCATARCAGAAATGTTCTGATACTCTGCTTCTGTTTCTGGCCTTCTAGTGGACCTTCTCTAAATGTCCATGGCGCCCTTATGATGAGGCCTTCAGATATGATCATAGTTCTTAATGAAATGGGGAGGTGGAAACTATTGAGAAAAAAAAGGGCCAAGACCTAATTGGGATGATGATAGCTAACACCGAGTGTGATTCCTGCCAAGAGGTTGATGCAAAATCCTGGGTGGGCAGGCACCGGTGAGCAGACTGGGCAGGGGCTGTGCAGAGCCACGTTTGGAGTGGTGCTTGGAGTACCTAGTGGGTAGAAGTGACTTTTCCCGCAGCCCAAAGCCTGGTTGCAGTGCTAGTGAGACAAGAGGCAATGGCAGGTGTTTTTTCATGCATCTTTATTTTCTGTGGCATAAAAAAGTGAATAAATAAATAAATAAATAGATGAATAAATAAATAAAAAAGTATATAAATAAGTATATCAAGACTTCAGTGGAAATCAATTGTAGAGTTTGTATGAATGGAGGCGCAGTGGTTGTAGGCTGCGGGTGGCGTGCGGTTGCTGCAGCCGTGTCCCTTGTGGCAGGGGAAGGCAGGAGTGAGGCGCGAGGTGGGTTTGAGGCGTGGTGTGGGAGCGTGTCGGGTGCGCGGGTGTGGGTTGGTGTGCGTGGGTGTTTGTGCTAGCGGCGCATGGTGCGCGTGAGGTTGTGGAGGTGCTGTAAAGAGGCGCGAGCTTCGATGCGGACGTGGTCCCAGGCGCAGGCGCTGTGGTTGTTGGCTTGTAGAAAGCGTTGGATGTCCCTGAAGTACTTGTTGATGGTGAGCAGCGTGTTGCGGGGTCCCTTGAAGAGCGTGGTGCTATTGCGGAGGCATGGCTCGAGGTGGTGGATGTGGTGCTGGAGTTGGTTGAGGAGGTCGTTGTGAGGCTGGGTGTGCCAGTGGTGGCGGGTGCTGTTGTCGCTGAGGGTGTGGAAGAGGTGCTGGAGGATGCGTAGGGCGGCGGCGGCGGCTTGTTGCGGGTGGAGGTTGTTGTGGCGGAGGGCGTCGGGGAAGAAGGGCGGCTGTTGCAGGTGGCAGGGCTGTGCGTGGCTGGGAGCCATGTCGCGGAGGAGGCGGAGCGCGTCGGCGGGGAAGGTGTCGTCGGGGGTCCAGAGGTGTTGGCAGGCGAGGGCGGTGGCCAGAGCCGTGAGGAGRAGCAGGAGCGGCGGGGCGGCGTGCGGCAGGCGTGGCCGTGGGGCTGTGGGCGCAGGCATGGTGGGTGAGTGGGTGCCGTCGGGTGGTGCTGGGCAGGAGCCTGCTGAGGCTTGGTGGTGGCGGCTGTGCTCGGGGTGCTGCCGGCTGGTGTGGCTTTGTATGGCGGCAGCTTTCCGTTCATTGCTTTCTGATTGCTGGGCATTTCCATTTGTGGTTTCCAGTTTGGTGGCTGTAGTGGTCTCGAAGCAGTGGTTTTTTGGGTTTTCCGTGGTTGTGGAGTGCAGTGGCAGTGGTGTTCCGGGGGAAGGTGTGAGTAGCGGTGAGCAGGGTTTTGGGAGTGCTGTCTCAGAGGCATCAGGGCAGCTTATTGGGTGTTCCCTGTCACCTGCATTAGCAGCTGTGGTGCATGTGCTGTGCAGCTGAAGTGTTTCTCTGTGACCAAGCATCCTTTCTAGCTACAGTGCCTTTGTAGTGACTGTGGTCACTTTTCCTTTCACTTTTAAAAGCGTGTGGCTTGAGTTTCTTTTCATCTTGGCCAGTGTTTTCCTTTCCTGTTTGCAAGGGATGTGCAGTGATGTCAGTGGTGTTGGCCTGGGGATCCCCGTCCTGTAGCGAGCACCCTGGGCAGTGGCATTGTGCAGCGGGGTGTCTGTGGGTGTAGGGCTTGGATCCCTGGATGTGTTCTTGCGTGGATGTTTCCTAGACATGGTCGTGGAAGCTGAGAAAGCCGGGCAACAAAACATTAGAGAATAGGCTCAGTGAAGAAGGATTAGGGAAAATAGGAAGAGCTTTGATGCTCCTCCGTTTTCCTGCTCTGTGTCGATGGTCCCCTCTGTTTGGCCTCGGATTGAGCATGGCATGGTTGTATTTTCCCTGTTCCTGTGGATGAGGCAGAGAGTGAAAAACGACTGTCTCCCATGAAGCAAAGGGTGTTGTGTTTGGGGGTTTGCAGTGCCCTGGCCTGGAACAGTGTGTCCTGTTTTGGGCTCTTTAGTGCATGAGAGTTGTGGGGCTGTTGGAGGGGATGTCCCTGAAGATTGTGAGGGAACTGGAGCAGGTGACTTGAGCTGAAGGCTGRGGGAGCTGAGCCTGTTGAAGTGAAGTGGCAAAGAATTTACTGTGTTTTCGGATGCTTTGACACGAGCACCTGTAATGTGGGGAACAATGAAGAGGAGTTTGGTCTTGTGTAGGCCTACGTGGGCCTACATGTAGGACATGATCTCTTTGGCCTC